ATTTAAAACATTTTAAAATATTTGTATCGAATCTCCCAGTAGTAGTTATTATATAGAAGTACCTTATAAACTATATAAAACTTTATAATTTTTTATATTTAAAAAGGGGTATTTTTGAAAATGGATAGATAAAGGGGGTATTTTTAAAAAGGGGTACACCAAAAGGGGTATTTCTCAAAAATTCTCTTTATTTAATCAGTTCAAGCTTATAACTATGTTTCTTGGAAAACATTATATAGGTTTTTATGTTATACATGACTATATTAGTTTTTGGAGTGATAATTGTTTATATGTTTATTCTATGGTTAAGCTTTTATGGAAGTTTGTTACATAATTCAAAATTTTAAAATTAATAAATTTTAAAATATAAGTCTATAAATTCAAAATTTTCTAAATTTTTAATTAATAACATGTTTTTTTGTTTTTAATTATTTGAATCTGTCACAAATGAAAATGTGGTAAAAAGGTTTCAATTGTTAAATGAGCGTCTGAGTGGTTTTCTAAGATATTTTAAAGTTTTTACATGACAATTTTATGTCTTTTATAATTTAGTATTTGATAGTTTTTTTACTATATTTTTGCCCCCATTAAACAAATTTTCTAGATCCCCCTGCGGGGACTCTTTTCTCTATCTGCCACCATATGTCTCTCTAGCTCTGTGCCTCAGTAACAGTTTTATTAAATACATGTCACTATCTATACATTACGTAAGTGATATTGTCATGTACTTGTGGAGACAGAAATAATAAAAGACACACACACTCGAAGGTACAATTTTGAAGTCTTTGTGATGAAAACAAAAGCTTACGAAAAAGCAAAAAAAAAACTAGATGAGGCATTTTGTTAACCAAAAAAAAAAGAGAATGTTAAGTGTTTCATATATATATTGGACTTGATCATTTTGGTAAGTGTACACAAAGCAAAATGTTTCTCATGTGGAGGCATTGATGAATTTGTCCGCAGCCCATATATGTTTTTAAGTAGGAATGTGCATGATGTGGATCGTTGATTCTGGATTTTGATGGTGTATGTATGTGATCTGAATATCTGATTTGCTCCATCGGAATAATTTGTTTGAAAAAAAAATCTGTATTTGTTTCGCAAGTAACCAGTTGTCACGGATATCCGTTAAAATCTAGATTATAACCGGATATGTGATCCATTTTTAAAAAAAAATTATAAAAAAACTGAAATCTAATACAATATAGTAATATTTACTATAAAATAGTAATATTCTATTTAAAATAATAATATTATATCAAATATATAGTTCTTCTTTAATTGTTAAAACTAGTAGTTCAAATAAGTAATTTGATGATTAAAAAAATTATAATATACTTATACAAAAATAAGAAGATTATAGTATATATATATGTAACTATTTATATATGTGTATATGTATATATATAATGGAAGTTTGTATATATATAACAAAATTCACATAATCCATTAGAATTCATGTTTTTTTACATTAAACCCAAAAAACATATTAAATGAATATCACTCATAAACTACATAAACTTTCATTAGTAACTACAAAATCACACCAACTTTTGATCTCTTATATAAATTATTCAAACTAACCAATCTAGCCACTAATTATAAAACTATATATAGTTTCGTTTATAACTTGTGATATTTATTTCACAAGTTATACAGTAAAATAATCAATCAAAATTCAGATAATCTATTAGATTTCAGTTTAAAAATTTGAATCGTGAAAGCCATGCCATTTTCTGTTTTAGTTATTTGATTGCTGTAACATTAAACAATACAACACATTAACATTGAGTAATACTCATAATCTACATAAACTTTCATTAGTAACTACCAAATCACACGAACTTTTGACCTAAGATATTAACTATACAACTAACAAATTTTGCCGATGAAAACACAAACTATTTGGTCTTGGCAAAACTTATGACATTTTACCACAAATAAAAATTTGCATATTCAAATAAAGAATGGTCTTGGCAAAAAGGGTGATTGAGGTATAACTCCACAAAAATATATACTTAAAGTCTACAACCACATAAAAACGAGCCATAACTATTTGGTCCTCAGTTTCCAACGTTTTTCGTTTGCTATTATATTCATAAGATATCAACAACAAATTTTGTCATGGTTATAAATTGATAAGTTTTCATTTTTGTAGTTCAACTAAGATGTGGTTATAAATTATTAAGTTTTACTTTGTCTAGCTCACATTTAACATTTAAACTTGTTTTATAGGCTCAAACTTGTTTTGGTTGAACATTTAATTATACATTTTTATGAGGTTGTAGCTCGTTCAAATAAAAAAGATCTTGTTTTTCGGCAAATAAAACCATATTGTATATTGATGTTGATGTTTTTAATTTCGTGTGGTATGAACATTTATTTATTTGATTCTTGTTGTTTTCGACTTTAGTCTTCATACAACACTTGTCTTTGTAATGGTAAATCCATAGAAAAAATTTACAAAAATATTTCGAATACAATATCACATAATTTATTCACGTAAACCCTTTTAAAATCAATTTCATAAACAATTAAAAATGTATTGGAAACGTGGTGATTTTTTAAAGAAAATAAAATATAAATATGGAAAAAGACATGCAAATAATAATGTGTTATATAGGAGAATCGAGCTCATATATATTATAGAGATAATCCTCATGCACAAAAGTTCCCGTAGTAGTCGAGTGACTCTCCCTTCGCTTTACCAATGCCAATGGTTAGTCATCGTATCATATTCTGGGACGATGTATTTGCTGAATTTTATGTCATGTTTTTAGATTATCAAATTACCACAATATATATTCAATATATATATATATATATATATATATATATATATATATATTTGTTTTTGTTTTGCATCAACTGACTAATATTCAAAATAAAGAATGTTAATTTGATTTATGATTATTATCAATTGAAAAAGTATATAGTATAACCTCAATTACAACACTTGATGTTTTCATCAATTTGTTTGGTATTAAATTTTAAATATTGATGCAAAGATAATTTAATTTACATTACTTTCAATATATTTATACGAAGGTATGAACTTACATCAGTTTAATACTCGATGTATATATTGTTTTTCATTAACACCATCAAGAAAAATTAGAAAAATTTGGTTTTTATATATAATCAATGTGTTTAGTAATTTTCATTAAGTTTTAGCATCAGTTGTAAATATTAATGTAAATAGTTATTTAGTTTATGTGCATCTCACATCGACTATACTGAAAATTTGCCATATAATTTGCTAATATAAAATAAATTTATTATTAATTGAGTATTTTTATATTGAAGGCTTTGAAGCTATTAACTAACATGTATTTCCTCCGTTTCTATATACATGATCTTTTAGGTTATTTTTTTTCTTCTAAGATATACTTATGATTTTCTCTCAAATATATGCAAAATTAATTATAGTTTTATTGATTTTAACATATAAGTATCATCAGCCCAAAACGATTTTAATGTTTTGCTTTTATTTCAACTATTGTCATTAATGATTTTGGTTTGCTTAAAATGAATGTAGTAGTATTTTTTTTTAATTTAAACATCAAATATTCAAAATTGATAAAATATGTAATTATACTTATTATATATAAATGTTATAAATACTTCTCCCTCCGTTTTTATTTATGTTTAAGGTTCTTACACACAAATTAATAAAACATATAATTTCTCTAATTCCAAGGCCATTTTTGTTTTATAATCGGCTTCGTCAGAGATCGGCATCCGAAAATAAACGACGACAACAACAGAAGAATTGATTGAGAAAAAATGAAAATGACGCTGCGACTAGTTTTAGAGCTAATACCAGTGTTTTCAGTGTCGCTAGAAAAAATATCGATCAATATTATAATTGATGCGACTACTTTTAGAACTGATGCTGGTGTTGTCCGTGTTACTCCCCACATACTTCACACACAAATAAGTTGGAATTTTGTGTCGCTGATCATTGACGCGATTACAAAACGAACACGACCATAATCACTTACATAAATGATGCTATGATTGTGTGTTTTCAAGCATTAGAAATTAATTTTTGTACTTATTCAGTTGTCAACACACACACACACACATATATATATATATATACGGTTTTGAACGACATAAACCAATATGAATTATATATATCTCAATACAATTTGTTTTTACTAATGACGAATCAATGTACAGTAAAACCTCTATAAATTAATACTCGATAAATTAATACTCTCTATAAATTAATAAATTCTTTCAGTCCCGAGTTGGGCCGGTGTAAAAAATGACACAATTCGATAAAATAATAAGATAATAATTATTTTTAAAATCCCTTGTAAACATATGGTCCCAACAATATCATAAATTAATAATTATATAAATTATAAAATATATATATATATATATATATAGCTAAGAAAACTTAGAGAAATATGACTCTAATGTTGTTTGCCTATTCTTAAATTTGCATTCTTGTTGGAGCTCATCTCTAATCTTTCTCATTGCATCAAAAACTTCTGGTGTTGTTTTCTCGAATCGCATCCAAAAATTGTGAAGAACTCTAGACGCTATAATTGCTTCCTTACGTGTAACTGGTTCTAATGGTATGGTAGTATCATCTTCGACTTCATCATCACTTGTAAGGATAGTAGCAACAATTTCTTCTAAACTTTGAACTTCTGAACATGCAACATTTTCACCTGGATAATCTAATAAACTATTGGCATCAATTCTGTTGCGATAGCCAAGATTATTAATCACAGCATCAAGTTCATGAACGTCAACTTCACAAGTGGATCCATCCAAATTCCTTGATTCGATATCCTCCGAGCGAATCTTGCAATGTCGAAAACAATTTGCTATTGTCTCTTGTTGAACATTAATTGTCCAAGCTGCGACTGCAAAATTAATAGCATCTAAAACATTAATCTTACTTGGATAAGGTTGTTCCAACTCGTAACCTTCTAAAATCTCACGGTAAAATCTCCTCCGGTAGTGCATCTTGAAAGCTCTTATTATTCCAGCATCACAAGGTTGAATTTTTGATGTCATGTTAGGTGGTAGAAAGAACAACTCAACATTTTGTAGCCCTTCAATGTTTTTTGGATGCGCTGGACAATTATCTACCACAAACAAAACCCTTCTACCGTGCATCTTTTTATCAAACCAACGGATGTATTCTTCAAAAATCACACTTGTCATCCAAGCTCTTTTGTTGAAACGGTATTCACAATTCAAGCTGCTCATGTTGACATTCTTAAAACAACGTGGCTTTGCATATTTTCCAATGATCCACAATGGAACTTTTTCAGAACCATCCGAATTACAGCAAATAACAACTGTCAATCTTTCTTTGTCTTGCTTTCTTCCTTCAAGTTGTTTGGTAGCAAGAGAATGATCAGCTTGTAACCTATAAAACAAACCAGTTTCATCCATATTAAAAACATCTTTTAGTGGAAACTTATCTACTTTCTCCCTTATAGCCTCCAGCTTATTCTCCATGTCATGTATATCAACTGATCCACTCTCTCCAAAACGACGAAAAGATTTGATACCATGTCGTAACTTAAACTTTTCAAGCCAGCCTTGAGATAATTGATGCTCTGAATCTTGTTGAGGATTTAGAAGTTTCATCGTAACTTTTGCCTTCTCCAGTATTAGTTCTCCAGTCATATTCACTTGATTTTGATGTTGGAGAAACCACTCAAAAACAACCTTCTCCATATCTGGAAATTTTGCTGGTTTGTGTCGCTTAGTAGCTTTGCCTTTTTCTGTGTTAGTTGAAAGATACTCAGCTGAACGTTTGAGTGTGTTTGAAATTGTACCTTGGCTAATTTTTAAATGAAATTTCTCTTCAATCCACGACTGTAACTCTCGTTGCGTACATGCCATATAATCTCTCTTGTACTCACATAATTCTCTACGAATCTGATCTGTCATCGTTGATTTGGAAACACCTTTGAGATGAGACACCATTGTTGACTTTCTATACTATCAAAGACCTAAGAAAATCACGTCTCTAAAATTTTAGTAATACAAAACCAAACTAAGGCTTCAATGTTCCTTATGTAAAAACTTCTACGTGATGCACTAAATAATAAGGAAATAAAAAAATAGAAAAATTCATAAAACAATATGTAAACTATATATAAAAGTATAGAAACTATATACTGTATTAAGACAATTCTATAAAAATATGAATATATATTTAAAACTTCTTATTTTTAATAGTAAATTTTCAGAAATTAGAAAATCAGCAAATCTCTTTATAAATTAATAAATTATTAATTTATCGATAAATTAATACCTCTATAAATTAATAGAATTTGCTGGTCCCAACATTATTAATTTATAGAGGTTTTACTGTATTTGAAATTCATAAGTTGAAGATTGTTACCTTTAGTCTAGTGCTTTCAAAAAACTGTAAATGTCAAAACATTTATAAGTTTTGTAAGTCGTTTGTTTTTTCAACATTAGGTCAAAATAAAATCCTTCCTTCGTAGGTAAGTGTAGCAATATGATTAACAATCAAAATTTTATTCTTTAATTATAATGTTAAGTGTAGTGACCTTAAAACTATAGATATCTTATATTACAAACAATTTTTCTTTGCTTTACATATTCCTTAACATGTATTCATAATGTAATGAAATAACTAAAATCAAATTAATATTCTTTCAAATTAATTAATGTTTTACTACCTTCACTTTTATGGTCTTGTAAACATGTGTTGCGTGAAAAATATCATCTATATATAACATCGTGGCGAATTAGTTTTCATATAGATATTTTCGTCTTGATATTTGAATAAATTTTTATGGGGTTATTAGCATGATATGTAAACTTTGCTTGTATCTATTTTAATTTATGTACTAATGGAGAATTTTTCGAAATATTATTTAAATAATAATTGAAGTAAATTGATGATTAATTTTCTTTTTTTTGGGTCAATTAATTGATGAAAAATTATCATTTTTATTCCTTTGTCGACCATTCTTTATATAAAAGAAGCCCGATGGGCAATGTGAAGCCTTTTGAAGCCCAGTAATATGAACCCAATATTATGGGGATTTTAAACACATTGAAAAGTTTTAGGGGTTTATTTCGATTAAACAAATAAATCGAGGTCAGTTCTGTTATTTTAATTATCAGAAAACCCCTAAACGCATCTTCTTCTTCTTCTTCTTCTTCTTCTTCAAAGATCAAGAGATCGCTTCATACAGTTCCACCTTCCAAGATCTTCCTCAGCAGCTACAGGTACGCCATTATCGTCCACAATTTTTTATTTTTTTACTGTTATAACTTTTGGATTTCATTTCGTGAGAGATTGTAATGAAGAGGTTTTAGTATAATCTTCTCTACTTGGTTTAGTCTTCGTTTTCCTGGAAAATGTAATTGGAGAAATTAGATAGAATCGATTCTAGTTAGAGAGATACATATTCTCTTGTAGTTTAGATTACGTTTGTAGTGTGAATCACAAATTCGATATATATCCACCAAGTGTTTGATGAAATGTCTGAAAGAAGTTAAATGCTGTGTAGCTTTATTAAGGATCCTCGATTCTTATAGGCTTTGGTTTGTTTGAGTGTGACATCACTCATAAGCGTTTCTCTGATACTGTTTACTCAGAAAAGTTTTGTCTTTAGATGCGATGGTTATTTCTTGGTATAGATAATGTTATATCATCCATTGAAGTTGTCTCTCTTCTCTGTCACGTAGTGCAATTTCGATTACATCCGTTACGGATTCAAAGTTTGAATCTTGGTCATGGGTTGTTTGATGGGTAGTGAAAGTTAAAAGAGTTGTGTGAAACCCCTTTAAAATGTTTGATTTTGATTCTCTGTTATAAAGGGTTTTATGCTTTGTTTCTCAGATGGTGATTCCACCGGCAGTAAGACCACCACGTCTCTTCGACTACCTCAAACCTTACGTGCTGAAAATGCACTTCACAAACAAGTTTGTTCACGCACAAGTCATCCACTCGCCAACAGCTACAGTGGCTTGCTCAGCGAGCTCGCAGGAGAAAGCATTGAGGGAAACAATGGACATCACACGGGACGTCGCTGCTGCTTCAAAGATTGGTAAGATTCTTGGAGAAAGACTCTTGATGAAAGATATCCCAGCTATTACTATCCATATGAAGAAAGAGCAGAGGTATCATGGTAAAGTGAAGGCTGTTATCGATTCTGTAAGAGAAGCTGGCGTCAAGTTGCTTTGAGGATTATTCAATAATCTGAAGCAGTTTCATCTTGTTAATTTGGAACATTGTCGTTTCTTTTTCCGGTTAATCGGATAGTTTGAGATTAGATTGGTGTCACAATTAAAGCCTTGCTTTATTAAATCCATGTTTCTTGCTTAAGGAGAACAAGAGCTAATGAATGTTATAAAACTTATCAGCTTTGACAATGGAAATAAAATAGATTATAGTATAAAAATTTAATTAGTTTCTTATAGTATACTGTGATTAACGGTGTTTTCTTGATAAGATTATTCTAAATGAGATGTTTTGATTAATCAATTAAAGTGAGATTCTGTTCTAAAAGACACAATTTGACGGAGTCTGTGCAATTGGGTATTCGGGTCGACCCGGAATACTCTTCATCTCGGGCAAGACTTGTAGAACCTTTAGTCACGACGAGTACTCGTCTTTGTCTTATGCTTCGAGCTTAATTTAGATCAGTAGAGAGAAAGATGGGAAGGTGTTTAACGAAGAGGGTGTATCTGATTCAGAGTCCGATCTTGTTTCTTCATCTCTTGATCTCCTTTTCGTCAGGTTAGTATCAAATCTTATGGTAATTTGATCTGTTGGTTAGATTTCAGAAATGGGTTCCAGAGATATTGGATTGTATTACTCAAAGTTTCAATCTTTTATCAATTTTGTCGTTTGGATCATCTTGACTCTTCTGATGCAAATCAAACTGATTAGAAATGATAGCTTAGGTTTGGGATTGTTTATCATTGGAAAGAGATGAACTTTGGAATATAAACTTATCAAAAGCTGTTTAATTTGAGTGAGATGCTCTGTTTAGGTGGTTATATATACTTGCTTAAGAATGGTTGTAGAACAATGTTTTCAGGTGCAGTGAAACCAGAGTTGAAAGGTGTATGTGTTTCTAAAGGAGGGAGGTTTCCGCCATATGAATCAGAAGGAAAGCCTCCTAAATCTGTTGGTAGAGGATCCAAGGATCTTACAATGTGCCGGGTGTTTCGTAAAAGGACTTGTTGTTCTTCTGTTCAGACAAACCCGGCTTTCGTAGCTGTCAGAAACCTGGCTACTTATGGAGAAGCTAGTGACGAATGCTTGCAGCTGTTCGAGTTATTGGAGTGTTCAATCTGTAACCCAAATGTTGGAATTCAACCAGGTCCTCCTCGCATTTGCGGTTCGTTTTGTGACAGAGTCTTTGAAGCTTGCAAAGATGCATACTTTGCTAGTAATGTACTTACACGGGTATGAAAAGTTCTCGTTTGGAAGATTGTGAAACAAATGGGCATGGAATTTTTCTCTCTGTTGATTTTTGGAATCTAATGGTTTCAAATATGTGGTTAGGCGATTGGTCCTTGTGGAGTAAATGGTAACATCATATGCGTTAAGGCCTCAAATTGGGAGTCCAATGGCACAGCATTCTGTGAAGCAGCTGGTTTTGCTGTTCAAACAAATGGTGATTCTAGAGAAAAACCATGCTACGGAAGCAAAGCGAGTCTAGAATCAGTGGTGGAATCATGGTCAAGAGACTCCCGAAAGGAGACGTCTTTAAAGACTGAGACTTTATCATGTTTTAAAGATCTTCTCCAATGGGTTCGCGAAATGACGACGATTCAGAAAATTTCTTTGGGAATGTCGTTTCTTGTAGCAGGACTGTTCTTGATCAGGTCTCACCATCCTGGCTTCTCTCTTCACGTAAGCCTCTAAGTGACATTTCACCATACTAACACTTGCTTTGGATGCTACAGGCAATCTAATAACCGTTATCAGAAGCAGCGGCTAGCTGCGATTCAGAGGACTGCTAGAAGATTGGGAGGAAACATGAACGGGAACTCATACAGTGCAGCTATAAATAGAAGGACAGTTCAAAGCTCTGATTAAGCTTATGGAGAGATATATTTTGTGGCAGTAGTTTGTAAAAGCCAGGAACCAACTGTTATCAGAGTAAACTAGTGAAGTCTCGTTTCAAGTGAAATTTTGCCAAGAACTGTGTTGTAATGTTCTGTCTTCTTATACGGATAAAAATTAGGGACAAGAAAATCAAACCTTTGCGAAGGATTAAAGATGAACAAATATGGAACCTTGATGATAAGCAAAAACGTTTGTAGAACAAGGAAAAAGAACGGAATGAGACAGTTGCAGCAATCACACTACTCACGGGGGATGCAAACAGGTCCATCTTGCTCCGTCTCTGCTTCCAAGACGGCGATATACTCCATTTGGCGAGAACGGAATTCTCGCATTCATGGCACGGCTGCCTCATCAACTCCCTTACTACTACGAACCATCGACAAGCTGATCCGTAACCGCATCACGTCCCTCGACTACTCCAAGAAGCCACGTCTGCAACTGCTGATGCAACGTTGGCTCATGGTCTGGCCGTGAGATTCTTTACCCATACAAACTGTCTTTGTAATAGTCGTTGTTTTGCATTTTTCAGAGTTTTTGCTCTTTGAACCTCTTGTACATAATTTTGTTTAATAAATTACACATTTAAACAACAACAAAAAAGAACAAGGAAAAAGAAGGCCTAGGCATATAATCCAATATCTGAAAGCTGATCCAATAACGATCCGGAAAATCCGGGTTCTAAATGATTTTTTATTTTTTGGTAATGATATTTTAATCATGTGTAACTATTATGTACTATATGGTATTTTCCAAATATATTTTTCTAAATGATATTTTAATCATGTGTTTATGTAAATTCTCAGAAACCAAATATTTTTCCAAATACTCTCATGTATACCAAGGTTTGTTTTTTTATTTTTCAAACATTTATATTAATTTTACAATATTTTAAAATTTTAAATTTTGTTGTTCTTTTTTAAAAAAAAAAAACTATGAACGATAAAATAGTTATATTCATTTTTGAGAAATTTCTTTGGATACCATCATTTTAGTTTTTCTTTCAAAAATACCGCAGTTTGTTTGTTTGTTCCAAAAATACCATAAAAATTTTATTTTTCCAAAAATACTATAAACATAAAAAGTTGATTTTTGAAAGTATGGAATTTTTTTAATGTTTAGGTTGATTATTAATATTTCGGGTATAATGTTTAGGGGTATGTTAATACTGTTTAGAATTTAGAAATTAGTTTTGAATGTTAAAAAAATAGTATTTGTTTTGTTGTATTTTTGGAAAAATGTATTTTAGTGGAGTTTTTGGAAAATAAAACTTATAATGGTACTTTTAAAAAATACCTATTTTCATGGTATTTAAGACAATTCATCTACATTTTTGTTGTTGTTGTTGGTGACATATTGAGTTAAAAAGGTGAAGAATGACAATATAATTTTTAGAAGGGAAGCTCCCATACCTACTAAAACCAAAACCATTAAACCAAATAAAACCAAATCATCAAAAACCATAACACGTATCAAAAATATCAATTGTTTATATTTATATAGAAATATTAGGCCGCAAGCTGGTGTTTGACTTGCAGCCATAAAAGGCTCCGAAAAAACACAAACTGAACCTTCAGAGTTTATAAAACTCAAAATTTGTTATTCAAGATGATTGATCAATCCCAATTCATGGATTAATGATGTAGTATATAATAAAAATGTTAATAATTAAACCTTTAGTGTGATTTTATTTACAAGTCATATTCACTATAACTATACATAAATTACATTATTACAAAAAAAAACATTAATTACATTGTTATGTTTAGTTATCTATATGACATTTTTTGAAAGATTTTTTTTAGTAGTTTTTCTCCATGCATCTCAACAAACATAAACACAGTTTATAATATATTTTACATTATTAATAGTTTCCAAAATCATTGCACATATATTTCTCAAGGTTTTTATTTTACAAAAGTTTAAAATCTTTTTCGAAAATCATAAAATTGAACAAAAACAAACCGTAATTTAACTATGTTATAATTTACTAAATCTTTAACTTTCCTTAAAAACGGTAAGTTATCATTTCCTCTTATTATTTATTTGTTTGCTTTTGTTTCAATAATAAAGTTGTACTTAAAAATACCTTTTTAATATTATAGTTTTTTTTTTCTGTCCACTAAAATTAGCATTACAAAATCATTAGAAACCGTTCATAAAAAATAAATGGGCTTAACAATTGGGTTCATAAAAGCCGTTCATTACTAAAATTCGCAATATTTCGAGTGATGTTTAAGAAATGGGCTTGTAGTTTGGGCCTTTATTAAAAGCCTAAAGCAAAGATGAAGCCATGAAAACCTAGAAATGTAAGGGAGCTTGCTAGTGGCTACCTATAAATTCATAAACCCTAACTTCATTTTTCGTCTCACAGCACAAACCCAGACGCAGCCATGGTAATTTTCTGATCTCTTCTCTCGATTCGACCTTGATCTACTAGTTATAGCAGATGCTTGTTCCTCTGGTTTCGACAGTGGAATCTAGGTTTTGGTAGATTTGGAGTTGTGGTATCTGTTTTTAGTTTGAATCCTGAAGTGACATTGCATTTGAGGTTGATTTATTGGGATTTCTTGTTGTTGTTGTTATTTTAGGGTATCGATCTTATCGCAGGAGGTAAGAGTAAGAAGACCAAGAGGACGGCTCCTAAGTCGGATGATGTCTACCTTAAGCTTCTCGTCAAGGTAACAATCATGGAGATGTCTCTTTTATTGTTCTCTTTCTCTGTTTCTTTCATGGGTTTGCTGAGATTTGGTCTTTACTTGGATAAATTTCGCAGCTTTACCGGTTTTTGGTGAGGAGATCTAATAGCAAGTTCAATGCTGTGATTCTCAAGAGGCTTTTCATGAGCAAAGTCAACAAAGCACCTCTCTCACTCTCTAAGCTCGTCAGTTTCATGGAGGGCAAGGTTTGTTTTATTAAAGCAACTCTCTTTTTACGGTATTCATGCATCTAAAACCTGTCCCGAGTCATGTAGTTTAAACCCATTTCTGGAAATTGAAGTTTCATTTGCTAAAGTTAAGAGTTTTCAAATATGCATGTTACTGTTAGTATTGTAGAATAAGGTTATCCACTTGAATCTGAGAATAATGTGATCCCCTTCCTTTGTTTCTTACTGTGATTTAGATTTCGTTTCGTCAGATCCGCTCATGATTCTGGTGTTGAAAAGTTGTGGTTTTTTATTTCTTATAGGATGGCAAGATTGGTGTGTTGGTTGGAACCATCACTGATGATTTGAGAATTCAAGAGATCCCTGCCATGAAGATCACAGCTTTAAGATTTACTGAGAGGGCTAGAGCTAGGATTGAGAAAGCTGGAGGTGAATGCTTAACCTTTGATCAGCTTGCACTTAAAGCTCCTTTGGGCCAGAACACTGTAAGCATATTGTGAATGGTTGTTAACATCTGTATGTTCTGGATTGTTAAGCTTAGTTATGATTCTAAACTGTGTGCTTGATGTATGACAGGTTCTTCTTAGAGGACCAAAGAACTCTCGTGAAGCAGTGAAGCATTTTGGACCAGCTCCTGGTGTGCCACACAGTAGCACTAAGCCATATGTTAGAGCTAAGGGAAGGAAGTTTGAGAAAGCTAGAGGAAGGCGAAAGAGTCGTGGATTCAAGGTCTAAGGAAACCTTGTTGTGGTTCGTTGTGCTCGTTTTAAAAAACGAAGTTTTGGTAGGGAACACTGGTTCCTCTGTGCCCTGTTCTAGACATTGTTTTATGATTTTTGCTTTTCTGTTCTTAATTGACAATTGGATATTTTGGTTTGTCTTTTTTTTATCTTACAACTTTTATATTAGCCTAATTGAGTTACGTCTACACTATGAGCTATAGAAATTAAGTCAAGTATAACACATCCTACATTATATAAAACTCTTAAATTGTTGTAAACTTTACTTATTTTTGTGCATTAAAATTCATATGAACTATATCGACAATGTTCAGTATATTGTTTCAAGTAACAAGACATCTTCTACATATGTACAAAGACAGATGCCTCTTTTACAATTAGGACTACAGAGGTAGGAACGAGCCATGCATTGTTATTTCTTCTTCAGAGATTCATGTTTACTCAATTCATCGATGTTAGTCTACGTATTCCTAAAGAAAGTACCATTATTCCGTTCAGTAACAAGTAAATCCTCTTTTGTTTTAACTCATGAATCTTGGACCAAAGTCCCTCTACATGTTCTTAATCTCTTCACATATCAGCTATAGAAAAGGATAGAGAAAATTGAAGCTTGGAAAATAGAATTTCCATTACCATAGTGAAACTTAGTAAAGAAGAAGAGCTTCAAGGCTTCTCAGCACAAACGTATGTATTCCAACAACATTGGAACAACTCCATGTTAAGGGAGATGTTCTCAAAAGTTCCAGACTGGCTGGATTTAAGAAGTTGGAATAGGTTAAATGTACGCACCGATAAAATCTCAGTAACCATTCTCGGGTTTCCAAGAAGAACAATGTGCGATAACAAAACTTTCAAGACGAAACAAGAGAATAGAAATCAAGAAACAAGTTCAAAAGGCTTATAATAATAACTCAAATCCATTACATATTCGTCCTCCCAATAAACAAAACAAGAATCTGACTCACCGGACAGATACACAAACTAGAATCTGATCACATAACATCTTACATTCTTGTTGTTGTTGAGATTTTGTCATGGAGACAAATTCCACACAAAAAACTAGTCGAAACTTGCATTCAAGAACTTAAGCAGTTCATTTCTTTTGCTCTCTGCAGCTTTGTCCTCTTTGGACTTGTCGACCTTCAGCAGAATCTATATAGCCAAACACACAGAAGAAGATAATGAGCAATGAACGGAATCTTGCTAGAAACTTGAATGAGTCCTGACTCACCTTTTTCCCTGAGACAGCACTTCTACGCTCACCATTGTCTTTGTCACGACTCAGAAACTGAAAATCAGAAAAGAAGAGAGGCACAACGGTTAAACTTAAACAAAGAAACATGAACTTCGTGTAAAGTTTAGATCTTTATAGGTATAATGCTTTGGTACCTTTGATAGTTTAACAGGACCGCTGCTTCCTTCTCCTTCCCCTTTCTAAACAAGACTCACAATGCCAGGACCAAAAATAAAAAACAAAGAAAACACACAAAAGTCCCCAGTTTATCATGTCACCAACCCCAGCTCCAAGTTCGAAGAGGCCACAGAGAAAGGCAAAAAGAAGTATTATAAGTAACTTGTTATCTTGATGAAAACTTATCTAAGACGTAATGAGAAACAATAGCTCACCTTCCTGTCTCTATTCTTATGCCGTTTATGACGATGACTCTTACTTCGTTCCTTATCCTTAGCCTGAGTAACAAAAATGATTACTTTAAAGCTGAACACCACTAAAGAGTGAACCATCACAACAGCTTACGAAGTGGAGTAAACAAAAGCAACCTTCTTTGGCTTTTCATGCTTCTTGTGCCTTCGTGACCTCTCGTGCTCACTATCTGAGCTCTCACTTCTGTCACAAAAACGCAAATATCACACTCTTAGTCTTAAATAAACTACAGAGAGTTCACCTAACGATAACTTCATCCAGATTAAACTAAACCTAACCCTAACATTGACGAACAAAATTGAAATGTGAAACTAGTTCCGATCCAGAAATTAAATTAGGGTTTTGAATTGTATAACTCCGTGAGAGAAGTTGACATCGACGTACCCGGAGGAATCGGAGTAAGAAGAAGCAGATGAATCGGAGGAGTGATGGCGTCTACGGCGCTTTTTGGAGGTGGATCGACTCTTCTTACGTACCTTGAGCGAGTCTCTGTCACGGTCGTTTCTACGGCGACGACGGCGATCTCTACTGCGGCGATGAGAGTCTGAAGAATCAGAGGAGACGTCGGAGGAAGACGAAGATGAAGAAGAAGCCGCCATTGTTGAGAAAAACAGAGCAAAATTAGATCTTAAGGGTTTTTGGTCAAAATATATAAGAAAGATATTTTATTCGAAATAATTAGAGGGGTTAATTTTGTAACAAAGAAGACTTAAGGGTATTGTTTACAAATATTAAAAGGTTAAGGAGCTTTATGCAACCCTGGATCAATTACAATTGTGGGAGTTTAGGTATCCATTCAGGTTTGGGTCGGATTTTTTCGAATTTTCGAATATAAAAAAGTATGACCCACTCGAATAACAAAATCAAAATGATTTTAATCATTTATGAAAAAACCAAAGTTATCAAACTAAATTAAATTTTAGAAAAAAAAAACTTCGAACAGCAAAACACTAAATTCAAGAAATTTAGTATTCCAACTGTAGATTTAGTGTTACGACAAAGACTATATAGGTTCACATAGTTTGGGTACCCATTCTGGTGTTCGGATATATCCGATCGGAATTAGACATCCAATACATTTAGTATAAACACACAATCGGATATTTTATATGACTTATAACCAATCTAAACTGCTTACTTCGGATAGGATTCGAGTTAGAGTTTTGGGTACGGGTATATTGCCCCCTAAATTTACAGTAAACCCTTTCATAGTCTTCAAGCCTTCATGTGCCTGAAGTTTGGTTCAAACTTGAACCTGAATTTTTTATTTTCAAAATCGGTTTAGCAATTGATTAATCACTACAACAAAACATCACATAATCATATAGTATTGTATCCTGAAAATCGATTCAATTCAATAAGATTTCATTAACCAAAATATTTTACCAAAAATTATTCATTTTTAATGTTTTAAAATTTGTTTTCTCATTCTTTAAACGTCAATTGGATAAAGAAATGAATATGAAGTATGAACCGAAAAACTTAATATACATGTCTATCATTTTTATGGGCTGATAAGATTTATCTATTTACAATTTCTTAGAGCTTTAGGTGCTTTGGTTGATCTTAATCATGCTTCCTAATTTAGGGTTAAGTTTTGTCTAAAATAACATTCTTTGAAGATTTGAGCCAATAGTAACAAAACATTGTTTAAGATGTGTCATAGTTGCTTCCTTAGTAAAGTCTTTAGTTATCCTTCGACGTTTTGACCTTGCGTATACAAAAGTGTTTCTAATATATAACTAGATTTTAACCCGCGGTACACCGCGGGACGACATTCCTAAAATGTATTCTTTTTATTAATTTTGTTTGGTATATAAGAGTGTACAACTATATTTTGATTGTTAATTCTATGATTTAACTCGTAGAATATTATATGATAATTTATTTTTATATAATCGTAATTTGATCAAATTAATTAAATAAGTATAATATTTAAAATAATGAAATGATATTGACATAATATTTATTTACATAGTATAATTCCGTATTAAAATATTTTATGAGTTAAAATATAGTAGACAACCCGTAAAAATATATATAATCATAATTATGTAAATTAAAATCCGCCATCACATGACCCGTGCTACACAATTATCATTAATACGTTAGTACATCGATTTTTGTAACGTTTGAGCAATATACATCCGTTTCAAAAAATTCAAATTGCAACATATGCAAAAAAAAATTTATTTTTTATTATACATATGTTTATGTAATAATATAAATTTAAAAACAAATAAGATCATATAAAGATGTTGAAGAAATATTTGATTTATTAGGGAGATATTTTAGGAAATTTTGTTAAATGTAATAAATATTGATTTCTAATTTTGCAATTTTATTACGATTTAATTATAAAATTCATTTTAAACTTTTTCTATTTAATCAAATAGCAGGGATTAATTATGAAAATATCACAAATTAAAAGGGTAGAACACAAAAGGTACTTCAAAAATGTTAATATAGATACCACAAGAAGAGGAAGTCACTTAGTCTTAAGCTAAAAGTGTGGCTGTTTTTATGTTACAAAGTTTAAGCTTGTATTAATATAATTTTAACAAAAAAAATTTAATGTTTTTTTTTTCAAACTCATCCAACAACTAAATATTTTTGACAAATTTTATTTTAATGTTTTTAACTGGTAATTTTACGAATCAGTAGACAATTTAGTTGTTTTCTTTCATGAATATAACATCATAACAATTTTAGGAGTATACATCATATATGCCATTCCAAGAATCCTATGTTGTTATGCATATTCATGTATTTGTTACCTAAACCCTCCTATTTATACATCTTGTTTGGTTTTCCAAAAAAAAAAAAAAAACAAGATGTACCAATTAATTTTATAAAATTTAATTACAACATATATATACATGAGTACATGACCAGTTAACACGAATTTACAAAGCTAGTCATAGTTACCTCATCAATTGGTAAACCAATAATACTGAACCTGACGAATTTTTCAAGGTTTGCCACAATATTAAAACCAAAAAAGGCTTTGTCAAAATATTTCCTTTTTCTTCTTCTAAACTTTTGTTTTAAAACACTCCATCTCTAGTTAGATTGTGTCTTCGGATCCCACCTCAACCGAGCTTTCTGGAGAATCTGATGGTGACATAGATGGAGATGTCGATGAAGCAGATGGAGACTCTGTAGGAGAAGCTGAAGGAGAAACTATTGGCGAAGCCGATGGAGAGATAGAAGGAGAAGCTGAAGGAGAAACTGAAGGTGAAGTTGATAGAGAACCAAGATAATCACTTGGTGGTGAAGCTGAAGGAGACACTACAGTTGTTGGTGAAGCTTGTGGGGAACCATGATGACCAGCTGGTGGAGAAGTTGAAGGAGATATTACTGCTGAAGGTGTGGCTGGTGGAGCACCATGATGACCAGCTGGTGGTGAAGTTGAAGGAGATATTACTGCGGAAGGTCTGGCTGGTGGAGCACCATGATGACCAGCTGGTGGAGAATTTGAAGGAGAAGTTGCTGTTGAAGGGTAAGCTGATGGCCCTGTTGTGTTAGAACTAGAACTAGTTTCGGAAGAACCTGGGCTAGTTGCATCAGTTGCTGAGTTGTTTCCAGAGAAAAGACCAGGGATGTATGGTACACCTTTACCTGGAATCCAAGCATCACCTTGAATGTATTGAGCTGGGGTGAATGTAAGGATTTCCTCTTCACTCAACTTCTTGATTCCGGGCCAAGTAACTCGTTTTGTGAGACCTGAACCCGGTCCAATGTTCCGCACCTCTGAGTAAAAAAGCGTCTCAAGGCCAAAGTTTCCAAGCCATGGTTGCCATCCTTCGGGCGGGATAAAATCCGGGATGAATGTATTCATGATGATAGTTCTTGAAAACTCTTTCCATGGCCTTCCAAGATAAGATTTGCTGGTTTCCTTGACTGCCAAGTAATCTGGTTCCCCAACGATGGTACATCCTTGGAGTACGAATCCTGTGGATTCACGCGGATCTTTACGTCCGTGGGCAGTAATGGGGCATGCTTGGTTCGGGAGTGGCTTTCTTACCAATAAAGTACAGTTTTGAAATACCGCAGCTGCATCTCCAAAGAGAAAATCGATTGTGCCCGAAATAGTACAATCGCGGTAAAACTGACGGTGAGAATGTGCGTATAGAGTGTCTTGGTACCCATCGAATCTACAGTTGTAGAATATCGATTGATCTGCTAGAACCCTAATCGCTACCGCTTGATGTTTTATTGGCCCTGCTGTGTTCTCAAACCCAATGTTCTTAGCAATGAAATGGTCTCCAACAATAGCTGCAATAACACCATTACGCTCATCAAAACATTGGACCTTATGCAATATCTATACCAGAAAAGAACATTAATTCCCGATTTTTCTTGGGCTATAATTTACATACAAATTTTCTAATAAATAAATGTAAAAAAAAACATGTAAGAGAAATCATTACCAACGGTTGCGGTTTTGTAAGTGGTAATACCGTCCTTGTAATTTTTATCGCCGGTAATGACAGTTTTGTCAGAACCATCACCGATGAAAACAAGATGTGTCATGCTTCTATTCACCTGAACGTATTCTTTATAGATTCCACCTTTGATGTGAACCACAAAAGTCGTGTTCTTCTTCTTCGGGACATTAAGTAATGCCTCGTTGATCGTCTTGTACTGACCGCTTCCGTCCTGAGCTACCACTATATCTGGTTTAACCTCGGACATAGGAGCATTCAAAAGCCTACGCGCTCGCGCATCCATCCACGAAGGAAAATCTTGGGACAGCAGCCGGCGACTACTCATCTCCGGAATCTGCAATTGTCCCAAGTAACTCGACATCTCGCTGACCATTGCAAGCCCGTTATGCGTTAACTGCACCGCGGTTTTCAACGCCTTCTTAATCGTCTCCCCTGCATCCCCTTGTGTCCCTTGAAACCCTTCAAGACAAGTCTCCTCATGACTAATCGTAGCGCTAAGCCAAAGCCTCAGCTTAACCAAAGCCTCGTCTATCTTATGAAACTCGAACTTCCCTAACTCCTCAAACGAGTTACTAAGCTCACCGATTGCGTAATCCATCAGCTCTTTGCATTGATCCAAGGCCATCTTCGCCCTTGGATCTTTTTGTAGCTCAATCATAGTTTGTGACTTCTTGGCCACGTCACTTATTTGCTTCATTGTCACGTTAAACGCTGTCTTCACCAGCTCTAAAGGGTCTGATGTGTTCTGTGCATCTTTCCTTAGAGTATCTTCACAAGTCTTTTTGTAATCAGTTGGTGCACAAACTTCTTTAATGGCTTTAACAGAAGTTGTGATTTCTTCTTCACCTTCGTTCTTGTTGACGCTAACGCCTATGGTAACAGCCACAACCATAGAGATTAAAAGAACAGAGGAGACAGAGATAATTATGTATCTCTTTCTCCTCTTTGCATCATCGTCGTATGATCCATATGACATTTTTTTTTTTTTTTCTGTTTTTTGTTTTTCTAAGTTTTGTTTTTTTTTGTTTTTTTTTTGGTTTATAAAAGAAAAATATAAATTGAACAGCTCCTTTATTTATTTTTTTGGGAAGAGCTGTTTGATGTTTTGAAGCTTACGTAGCCTCTTTAGGATTGAGAATTCTGCATAATTTTGGAAATATTTACAAGAATAGTTTTGTTTATGATTAGATAAAGAGAGTTTCATAGTTTTGGTTTGCTTTGTTTTATGAGGTTTGGCGGGAAGATCGTTTGGCTTAAGAATTAGAGACACATACAGATATGTGGTTTTCTTTTGAGACAAATTTTAAAAAAATACTAACTCGAAAGTATATGATGCATCTTTTAAAATAAGGTAGTGTACTATTTATATTTTCAACTATTTTGTTAATTTATTAATAATTGTATAATTTTCTCTATAATATTGGGTGCACTAAAGTGATTGTATATGGATATATCTTAACATAATTTCAAATATGATTGGGTATAAAAGAAATATTACAAAAAATGTTTTGACTACGTACATATTATATAACCAATTAATTAACCGCATTTTGTTTTGAAATGTTTGTTTCTTCTTTATAAATCAAACTAGAATTTATCCCGTGCATACGCACGGAATTATCTTTTTAATTAAATAATTCATATAAAAATAAATAAAAATATATAGTAAAATTATATTTCTTTTGAATACTTTATAAATAAGGAAATATTCCTAAAATTAAATGTAGTATTATTCTATTTTTATCATAAAATATAAACTGAAGGTCTAAAACTTTTAAGTTTATAATCAACCCAAAATGTTATTTAAGAAATATAAGGCAAAGAAATCTTTTAGTTTAATTTTACAAAAATATATTTTTTACTGCTGCTCTTTTCAACATATCATCAATGTATTTGTATCATTCTCCTGTGTGTTGGTTGAATAAACAAATGTCTGTGATTTTATGTGATATATAAGCATAAGTTTGAATTAATATATTTAAAATATAAAACTATTTTGTTGCAATATTTTAAACAACGATTTAAAACATTTGAACGTATCAGTTTAACCGAGACTACAATGGTTACAAATTATCTAATTAAGTAGTAGAATGCCATTCTTACATATAATTCCATCTACATATTATGCAATTTTCTTGATGAAATGTTTCCTAGGTGAAGTGTTGGGTTCTTTGTCATCTTTTGAAAGTCTTACCATCAAATTTTAAAACCTGCATCAGTTAAAGATCATCATTTGTTAGCCATGGAGGATTTCTTGAAACATAAAAAGGGTACATGAATAAAACAGAGATTTTAGAGGGTAATATGAGAGATAGAAAAAGAAAAACCTTAATATGTTTTATCATGACTCCTTTTGCCTCTCTAATTTAGATTCTGGAAAAAGAACTAAACCTTAATTAGTTTTCTGATCTAAGAAAACATTTGCATGTTAAATATAGGTGTCGTAGTATAGAAGAAGTAGAATAGAGTGACATTTAGAAGAATTGAGTAATATAAAAGTCAAGAAATATGAAATGAATTAGTAGTTTACCTTAGAGAATAAACGTTCAATGCCAACATAAGATTTTTTTTTTTTTATGTGGGCTTGACTGCTTGAGAAGAAATCTTGCGTTTTTTTTTGTGTGGATCAATTGACATGAATCACAGAAATATAAATGATAGAACAGAGGTGGTTATCCGAGATTGCTCCTAAATGGTGATCGTGGAGGTATGAGAAAGGTTGTAAAAATCTGAAATTTAGGAAGTTGTTTAGAACGTGTTTTTTTTTTTTTTGGTTGTTACTAATTTATTTTTGTTTTAGTTTTCCAAATTAATTCTTTTAATTTTATTAATTGCCAAATAACTTGTGATTGAGGGAGAAAAATTAGGGATTAGTTTTTTTTTCATTGATCGTGTGTTTTAGTTTGTTTGAGAATTTTTTTTTTAATTTTTTTTAAAAATAAAATCTGATGTGGCTAAATTTTATTGGACAAGTGACTTGTGCTTTATAGTATAAAGGATTCTATTATTTTATTTAAAAAAAGTCCATAATAATAAGTTATTTGATAACGTCAAAAAAAAAAAATTATTCGACATGAAATAATATAAATATGGATAACATTTTGAAAGTTATTTTGTGATATACCACACTCAAGTTTATACAAAACTTGTTGACGATAGAAATGCAAAAGAGAGGAAACCAAATGAAACCGAATCACACTTAATAAATATTGTTTTTTTTTTTTTTTTTGGTAAAAAGACGGGAGATAGTCTTAATAAATATTGTTGTGTTAGAGAAGAGGAAGTCCAAACTTATTTACAATAGAAAATATTGATGTCTTACAATATTTCTTGAGGTCATTTCCTTTTAATGTATAGTGTGATATATGTTTGGTCTTTTCAATGGTAAGAAATTATTTGCAATGTGAGTTTCATAACTATTTGCAAACCAACAATGGTTAATGTGTCTCATCTAACTTACTATGATGTATATAACCTTTAACCAAATCAAGTTTGAGGATATTGCGCTCATTGCTCGATAATCATCTTTAGTTGAGAATGGATTAATAGTAGCATGTCTCTTGGTTTTCTACGATATTAGGGCATCTTCAACAAGGATATCTTAGAGGTAAGATTAACATAGGAAAGTATCTTATATACTATTTCCACGTTGAGTGATCCTTATTACTGACCATGCACCGAACCAAGTGACTGGAGAAAAACCCAATATGAGCCACACATTTATATAGTTGCATATTCGAGTATGAAGGAAGTAAAATCTTACGTACCAATCATCTATAAGCGATTCTTACATGGATTTTGCAAAATTGTGTATCATATATATATATGAGCGGCCAGGTCGTATGTATAACGGCTAAATAATTTTAATAAGCCTATGGTTCTATCTACAAAGCTATAGTTCAGGCTTTGCTCAATTGGAATATGATGATGGTTTGGCTCCAAGAAGATTTGTTTTAGAGACAATACCAAGTGCGTACCCTCTATACGCAATATTAAGATAAATACGACAATATATGGTTATGTGCAACCTATCATGACTTTTTGGTAGTCTGAAATCTTTCATATGTAAAAATATTTTAGATTTTTGGTTATAGTTTTATAAAATGTGAAGTCATAGTTTCACAAAAGTAACTTAAAAACAATATATTTGGTAAATATAAGCATTGCTAGACATATGAAGATATTATATATAAGAAAATCTTACAAGTATTATTAATAATTAGTAGAAAATAGATTAATGAAGTAAGTAGTAAGGCTCACAAATTACAATATCTAGACATAAAGGTAAGCTTTATTTTCACTTAAAATTAAGGTACTCTTAAGATCTCTCAAATAGTGTTTTTCGATAAATCTCTTCCTAGTAGATACAGATTTACTGATCATTGAAATAATTAATTACTCCACTATATTTTTTTTCATCTTCGTATGTAAGCCTAAGTAGAAATCATTTGGTATTTAAATTACAGACTTACAATCTGGAAAAATATTAAAACTGATTAAAAAATAATAATACATATTATGTGGTAATACGTCAGTAATCATGAATGTATATCTTGGATATTTTCTACCAAATATTTGAGTAGTCTCATTTAAGTAAAAATTGGCACTAAAGGTATTCAAGCTTTATTTTTCTGACTATATATATTTGAAAATAAATTTATAAGGAATAAAATTGTTATTATTTACAGTTCATAGACCATTTTTGTCATTATGTTTCCTTTTTGAGTATTTTTCCCCCAAGAGAAAGAAAAATTAGATTAAGACCAAAAAACTAATTAAAGAAATGAGGAAGAAACAACTCTAGTCAATCACACAAGCTGTCTAAGTTTAATGTTAATGAAACACATTCCAAGTTTAGTATTCCTTAGTAGAATGTAATTTGTTTTTGTATTTGCAATTAGTGAAGAATACATCATCCTTCCATACTAGTGAAAGATGCTAGTTTGACTAGTTGGCTTAGTAATTATTATCTATTATAATTCAATGAATTTAGATATTTTTTAAACACACAAAAATTAAACACGAGATTTTAGATAAAATTTAGTAGTTTATAACGGTTTTTTAAATGAATCTTCGCGGGCTATCTTCGCGCGCTAATTTCTGTAATAAGATAGTTGGACTACAATTGTTAAAAAGTGAGAGTCAAAGATAAGAGTAAGCTACAATTGTTAAAAAATTAACTTCAAATTAATGGATTCAAATTAGAGTTGTATACCAGGTAATACAGCTAAGATATTATTTACATATTTCACACAAAATATCATTTGGTTAGTCAAAAGGAGTACAATCAACATTGTTAAAGAAACAACCACACAACTTTTTGATATGAAGTCTGGTACTTCCTGATTTTAATTAATTTGGCCCCTAGGGAGATATTATACCATAATAGTTCACGAACATTAAGGTTACTTTCTCAATAAATAGCTTCCTCATTTCTCTGAATCTAACACAGACGAGATAAAGATCACTTGTCTCAATCTAAAGTCTAAAGAAAGAATAAAAAGATTTGTAATGGAGAACCAAGCTACGTCTTCTTCAAGCTCCTCCACACCCAAGCCAGAAAAGCTCAAGAGCATTTTGGTGGTCATGGAGGAGTCCAAGGAGAGGGAAACAAGGGACACCAATCTGAAACTTGGTTCTCCTCAAGAGGAGGTTACCTCTGAGAAGAGGATGGAGAACCCTTGTTTTGGATCTGGTCCTGTCCGAAGAGGAAGAGAGATCATGAAGCTTTACCCGTCGAAATCGAACAAGGTCTACGCTTGTCATTTTTGCAAGAAAGGGTTCTCCACCTCTCAAGCCCTTGGTGGTCACCAGAACGCACACAAGCAAGAGAGGGAATGGGACAAGAAGAGGAAGGAGATGGAAGCAGACTTCCCCGGGCTCGCTTTCTTGAACCCTTATCTTGATAAGCCTCACCTTCTCTTAGGTGGGTATTCACAAGATGCTTTATCAAATGAAAACCATCTTGGTATCACTCTTGATCCTTTTAAACGTCTAGTTTACCCATCTTTCAATGGTGGAGTCACTGGAGGAATCGCGGATATGAACATGGCCGTGGTTCCTCGTGTGACTCCTACTCGTTTCTTCCCCGGAAACTCGAGTACCAATGGTTTTGCTTCAATGTTCCCTAATCCTCCCCTACCAAAAAGGCATTGTCCATTGACTTCAAGAAACGTTTTCCCTTTTTCTCCTCCTCAAACCACCAATCTTTCTAGAGATGTGGTTCCTCAAGAGAATGTTTTGAGAGAAAGGGACTTCATCTCGCTGATTGGAAGAAACAATGTTGTGGAGATTGATGATGATGAGCCACAAGAGGAAAATGACATTGATTTGACTCTATCCCTTTGAGTATCTCTTATAGTTCTATGCGTTATTTAGTTTTTTTTTTCATGTTAGTTTGATATATCCACCACAGCTATGTATGGAGTTTGTTTTTATCTTTTTTTAAGTCATAGTATTTCATTTTAAATGTTCATTTCTTTGTATCAAATCTCTTCTTCTATATTCACATGTAATTGTGTTTTAGTTGAGTTTTTTAATATAATTTGTTTCCTGAAATTTTATCTTTCTAATGTGTATTATCTCATGAGTCATGAGTGTTCTACCATTTCTGAATTAAATTGGTGTTTTTAGGAAATAAATAAGTACAATAGTAAAGCCCATTGACTAAGGAACCGGTGTTCTTCACTCATCGATTCAAGAGATTACTTTCCTAACAAAACTAGTCAAATTCTGATTTTACAAATCTTCCATTTAAAGTATGAATGACCAAAGATAACACTCTCAATGATATACAACTATAGAAGCCCAAACTGAAATATGTTGTGTGTTTCTTGGTTAGAGAAACGTGTCCGATGAATTATTGTTAGAATAGATTGTTGTTTATTCCTATTTTCTTTCAAATTTAATTCTATATTACAAATAAAGAGAATGTGAGCCTTAGAAACATGATTATGACTATATGACTTTGTTTTTGAATGAATGTAAAATTATATTCAACCAAAAAAACTTGTTCTTACGATATATGCAACCTTAAATTGAAAAAAGAGTTGATAGTTTGTGCTAAAATCAGAAAAAGGTGGATACGATTAGTATCACGACGCAAACCAAATGCGGAAAGTATCCCCTCGCTGAGAGTTTGTTGAAAACGAGTGAGCATAAGCGCGATTGCGAATGACTCGATCAATGAGCTTAATGAGATTATGACTGTGACTTGTACAATAAGCTATAATCAAATAACCAAATTGACTAATTAAAAAAAATATCAAACAATGTTAGAACTCAAAACTAAATGGTCAAGATTTATTGAATACAATCATAACATTATATTATGCATCCAAAGGTATTGATGGACAAGTCAGAGTTTACTGATGTGAATAACTTGAGCTAAGAGGTATTTGTGAATTTCCATAAAATAGCCTGGACATATATACGCAAGCCTAAACGAGAGGGATGTTTGGGAATAAAGTAAGTTGCTTGAAATTGATATGGCAAATAGTTTGAAAGCAGTAATCACTCTGGGTTACATGGATGAGAGTGAAAAATGGATCTTTTTAGCTTGATGAATATGATTGGGTGTGTTGTGGTGATGGTTTTGGTTCACATGTTTATGTTTTGAGTTTTTGAGTATGGAAGCTTGAAGTAAGTTAGATTTTTTTTGGTGTTTGTATTGTACTAATTGATTAGTTATCTCAGTTAGATAAGCTAATAGTTGTCAGAAACTTTTGACATAGTTCTAACTAAATTTTGTCGTATTTCCAAAATAATGTTACATTATCTGGAATTCGTCAAAATCAAAATCAAAATTTGTCGACTTTTTTTGTTGGAAACTTCTAATGAAACACGCATCTCGGCAAAAGGTACATAATTTTTTTGAAAAATATCGTCGAAAACCCTAAGGGGGATGTATTCAAAGTAGCATTTTAAGAGATTTGAGTTTTATTGAAATTTTGATGATTTTAGGGAACTTCATTTGATTTATGTAAAATCCTTTCAAAATGATTAGTTCAATAACATTGGATTTCATGAGACTTTTTAAAATTCTTGATTGAATAACACATGATTTGTAAATTTTTTACAAATCACTTGAAATTCAACTTTGAATACACCCCCCTAAGTCTTTTCTAAACACTGGAGATATATTTTTTCCTTACTGGTGTTTTGTCGTTTCTAGAGAGAGAAAAATAGTGATCGACTTGTTGGATATCGAAAGAGAAAATGAGAGTTTTGAGAAGGGTTAAGATGGGCATAATGGCTAGTTTTGGTGTTGTTAAAGGGAAAACGAAGAGATCAGTAGTTGTCAGAATTACTGTGAGGTTGTTGTGTGTTAGCAGATGGTCTTCTTCAGCATTTAACATCCAAATCAGAGGTGATTGTATGATCACTGATCTAAGCTTGATGGAGTGTTCTGATGCTTATTTTGATTGTGTAGGTGAATTTGGGATTTGTCTTTGTGGCTGCTTGTGTGTTTTCCTTGTTGTGTTAGGCTTGTTTTCGTGTTTGGTTTGTTTGTGGTTAGCATGACAAGAGGCGATTTAAGGGTTCTGTGAGATGAGTGTTGATCAACACTATGTAGATATCGTACGACACTGGGAGGGGTGTCGATCGACATTAGGTCCGGCTGAGAGTTGACAGTTTCATGTTTGGTTTGCCTGTGTTTTGGTGTTTGTTGAGTATCATTGATTTCTATCTCGTTAGTGTATAACCTAGCAGATGGGGGACCATGTTACTGAATAATTTGTGATAATATTCACACAACTCATTATGCATGGTGCAAGTAAAGATAATGTGTGATAGTTATATCGTGGCGATAAAGAGGAATATGATCTAGGATCTCAAGTTTATATGGTGTTGGTTTATGTTATTTAACTCTTTGCTGATTCGATTAGGAACATGTTAGGATTACGGGTTATCCGAGATTGATTTGTTGGTTTGTTAAATTGTTGGTTTATTGTTAGATTAATATATTGGAAAAATGTCAAAAAAATCCCCAATTTTCAAATTGTAGACGAAAAATATGAACTTTCGAAATGTCATTTAAATCCTAAAGTTTTGTGACTTTCGAATAAAATGGTCAAGTTTCATTGACCTGGCCATTTCGGACATGACGTTAAATTTTTACAAACAAACAATACATATACACATATATATACACATAAATGTATGTATATATGCAATTAATCAAAAATAAAAAGTATTTATTCATTAAATAATAATTTATGATAAGATATAAAATTAAAAGAATATTAAGTTCAATAATTAACTTTCTCTCCCCACTAGGCGATCAATAAGGAGACATCAAAACCGTCATCACCGCTTTTAGGCCCCGGCTTTTGCCGGTGGCTCTGTATATTTTTTAATTTCAGTTTCATATTATTATTCTACAATAATCTACGATGGGTGTTGTTCTTTTGAGAGAGATTTTAAACCGATCTATTCTCTTTCTTTTGTTGGTGACGGAATTTGCGATCGAACTTTCATCGGAGACCATCATTTATCATCTTCTGTTTTTGTCAATGCAGTTTCTGAAGCCAAAAAGGAATAATATACATCTATCTAAGCAATTAGTTTTTGGAGTCTCGGTTGGGATCTCCTTTGTTGATAAGTGGGAACGATTCCGTTTCCGGCAGTTTCCTCCGATTATGGAGGCGTTTCATTCATGGTTTGTCATCGGATTGTGTCTATGCATTGATTCTACTCATGACAAATTTGCTATTTCCGTGAAGGATTTTTTGTTCCTTTATGATGCCTGATATCAAAGATTCCAAACAGTGGAATTGTTTGATACTCGATCCCGAAGAGTTATATGGTGTGTTGATCAACGAATATGGGATCCGGGTATAGCATACTTATGGGGAATCAATGGTTTGGTGCAAGAGAAGATATTGAGTAGCATCATTAGCATTAGACGATTATGGAGTTTCATCCAAGAGATGATAGCCAAGAACGACGATTTCATAAATTTGGGATTGATTCTGGAGAAGGAAAGAAATGGGTTTATCAACCTGTTGGCGAGTAAGGCTTCGGTATCCAAAGCATCGTGGAAATTCGCTTCTTCATCGTTCTTTCTAATATGTGGTTATAAATGCATAGATGTACCTTTGTATTTGTTTTCTATTGATGTATTACCATTGTATCAACTCATGTATTCGATTTGAAATCAATGAATGAATCGGTTTTAAAAAAAAAAAAAGAATATTAAGTTCAATAATTACGATTAAATACAATAATGATTATTAAATATAAAACTAAAAAAATATTAAATACAATAATTATTATTTAAAATAACAAAACTAAGACAAATATGAAATACAAAAAAAAATTATGAAACAAAGCAATGAGTGATATTTTACGACTAATATATCAAAAACTAAGAGAGATTACATTTATTAGATAACAAAATATAAACAGTATGTCATTATTGTGAATGTTTAACGTCATGCCCGAAATAGCCAAGCCAATGAAACTTGACCATTTTATCCGAAAATCAAACAAAACTTTAAAAACTTTAGGACCATTTTGTTTGTTGATGTTGGTAATTAATTAGTATGCAGTTCTTAATTTTAAAAGAGAAAATGGGTCGGATTGTTTCAATATTTGAATTATTGGTTTTTTGGAAGATTGAATTTTAATGTCTAAGAACAAACAACTTTTTCTCAACTAATAAATGATTTTGGGTTACTAATATTTTCCCAAGGCACAGGAACTTTAAATCTAAGATTTTGTCCTATCTTCACTAAAATAAACAACATAAATGTATCATTATTAATTTGTATTTTCTTTTAACAACTATCATTATTAATTTATGTGACTGACTCATTTATAACATGTAATCAATAATAATTGAGTATTATGACTCATATAAATCAATAACTGAGTAATAATTAGCTGTACATTTAATATTACCAAACATTATAAAATTAATACTAGCACATAAAATATCATTTTAAGGAAGAGAGTTAATATTCAGCCTTATTTTTTTCTATATAATTTCATAATAACTTTTGCCAGTTTCACGAAATTAATTTGATTGTTAAACCCCAAAGATATTATACCAAAAATGCTAAGCTTAATTAAGACCGCTTATTTCTTGAGACTAACAAATAGGAGATAGTCTTTCTCTCATCAAATGTGTTATTGTCTGAAAAAAACCTTTATAAAAGCAATCTATATTGAGTTATTTTCTCACAAACATATTTTCTCACAATATAGAGTTTAAGGCAATGGAGAAGGAGCATTCTAGCCTCTTCCACCTTGATCGATGCCCTGGATTTTCACAAGTTGGTCGATCTTTGAATAACTTGTCTTTCAATAACGTTCATACTACTAATGGTTGTTTCTTTGATGTTTCTCTACCCAAACCAGATGTGGAACCATTTAAGAACGTTCGTTACAGTTCTAAACATGGTTGTTTGACCATGAGTTTTGATTCCCCTCCTCCATCATGTCATTCAACCTCATTTTTACGTGATTTATCACTAAATCTTGTTCGTGGCAATGCTGCTCATATCCCGGAGTTGTATACTAGGAATCTCATTTCAACCATTGGAAGTCGTGACCACTACTCATCGGTAAATCTTACTTCAAAACTGGGAGAAAACAGTTCAATTATGAATGATACTAGAGACTGGGGACTTGATTTATCTCTTCACATGTAATCCTATTTATTATTAATAATATTTGCGTTTTTCGATTTAATTCGTAATACAATGTATTTCTTTTCCTTTGTGATATTATTTATGTTAAAAAAGAGATTTTCTTGTTTCATTTAAAGTGTTTAAGTTCCACTTCACATTTATATATCCCTCTTTATTAATAATACGAATCAACCTCTATAAATTAACACTTCGGTAAATCAGTACATTCTTACGGGATTATTTGGAGAAATAAATATTCCGATAAATCAATAACTTTACAAATTAATAAAATATAATAATTCCAACCTTATCAATTTATAGAGCTTTTACTCTATATATACATATTTTCTGATACAGATTATATCATTTTAAAAAAAATTATTACAATGTTATAAATGTTATACTATTAATATTCATGAAGGATTAGCCTAGTATATGTGTTTTTCCACGTGTATTAAATATCATCAAATACTACATATTTAATCTATTCTAAAATGTTAGTAGATATTAATAGTTTCCTAATACTATTGAGAAATTTCAGATTATGTATTTTTATAAAAATAGTCGTCAGATTTGGGACGTTTCCTTGTACTACCATTTATTGTAATTGTAATAACTAAGTCTTTAATAAAAATGGAGAGCTCAGTTAAAGTTATAATAAATTATATAATAAAAATTATTATTTTTATTGTTAAGTTTTGAAAGTGGGAACCAAAAATTGTATTATATAATTTTAGAAACATATATTAATAATTAAATATCATTTTTAGTACAATATTAATGTTTCATTTTTATCATTCATGCCATTAAAGAACTCTAAATTATATATATTTTTAATAAAGATATCATTTATGGATATATATATATATATATATATATATATATATATATATATATATATACATATTGTTTTCCATTGTATGTACATATATACATATATTGTTAATGAATACAAATAAAATTATCACTGTACACATAAAATTTTCTAAACTAAATGAATAATGGCGACAAAAAAAATAAATGAATTATATAATTAAATTTATTAACATTCATCTAACAATAATAATTAAGAGTCAAGAGAGAAAAGATAGTCAATTTTTTATATACTTTATAACTTAAAAACATGACTAGTATTATATTATCCTAATAAAAATATTTCTTGAAAAAAATAGGCAAATCAAATGTTCCATTAAATATATTTGTTTTTGAAAAATATAAAAAGAACTATTTAATCATTTTCTGTTGTGTATTTTTTAATATAGGATAATGTATATGGAACATGATAGAAACAAACAATAGTAAATCTTATTTACGACTTACGACATAAGAATTATTATTATTAGACTTTCTTGGATTCAAATAATTTTAGAACAAAAACATCATATGTTTATATTGTATCAATTAACTTACACCAACTAAAAAGAATATTACACATAAAAGTGTAGATTGTATAGATTATTTTAGAGATACCATTATTTACAATCATGATTAATTAATATTTAACCTAAACATGAATGTGTTGTTATAAATCCAATTGTATATAGTAGATTAATAGTTGAATGGTGCTCTCAACAGCTTGACACATCACTATGCCTTATTAATTATTTATTTATTTTAGTTAGAAAAAATCATGTATTTGTTATTACTTATCTAAGTAATTGATATATGACATTAATTGCATATATAAACATAAAATCAATAAAACTATAGTTCAATATTAACTTTTCTTTGAATATAAACATTAAATAATATGCTAATAGAATATGTTTCATCTTTTCAAATATTATATATATATATATATATATATGTACGATTAGCTACAATGAATTTGATTTAAATTTATCGTTTATTTAAGACAAATATAATACATTTAAAGGTAACACTTTTTGTAATTAATATAAAATAATCATTTAGTTATCAATTAATAAGAAAAAAAAACTTTGGGATAAACTGCTTAGCCAAAACTTAGAAATTCATTAAAATGATTAAAAGACACTAAAAGTATTATCTCATCAACCTAATTCAGTTTATGTAACTTATAAGAAAACTACGGATGTAAAAACCCACACTTATGAGTGGATATTAAAAGAAAAAACACTCATTTTTCATACCACTTTCCAAAAATACTCCTTCTCTAAAGCCTTATAAAAAATACGTCTAAAAATATGAGATTTACTTAAATATGCATGTAACCTTACGAAATCATACACAAACTAAATTTATTTGTGCTTAGAACCTTATATGTACATTAAAATACCTTACAAATACTTTATATAAATATCTTGCAAACTTTATAAATACCGTATAAAACCTTATATAATCTTATAAATACAAAACCTTGTAAATACTTGGATAGGTTTTGAGTAGTAGTTACAATTCATAAATAACTTATAAACTTTATAAATTTTTCAGATTTAAGGAGGGACATCTATACTAGTATTTTTTGCAGTATAAATATAAACTATATCCTCAACTTCAAACTTATTTACATTGATTAGCCACTGAATTCAATTCTCAAACATCTAAAAAATTGATTTTTTAATACTACGAAAATAATAAAATATCATTAATCCGATAATTCAATACAGTTCAAATCCTCAGTTATTATTTTTTAACATCAATATCAAACTTGTCGAATCAACTTGATTTAATTAAGATTGGTATCATACAATCTTAATAATTATTATTAAATAAACTCTAATAAAATAAATAAATTCTAAAAAATGTAAAATTAAAAATGAGCTTTGTTTTCATCAATTTGTTATACTAAACTCTTGCCACTTTGACAGTGGGCAAAAACTTTTTAAGACACCATCAACTTAAAGCTCAAACCAAACATCCACACTAACGTTTTACTTATTTTAACGTTGAGTTTATAAACACCTAAAACGTATATAACAGTCTAAGCAAAGCAAGAAACATATATCTTTCTTTACATCTTCAGTCCCATCTAATGCGGCAACCACGAGCATGAAGCATCTCTAGCAATTCCGATGAGAGCAAGAACCTGAGAGGTGCGAGTAGTTTAAGCTTCTTGAGCCTATTGCAACAGGCTCTTAGCGCAAACTCAAACCCTTCTACAGTCACGCGGTTTAGATGAACTAAGTCAACGTCTTGAACCCGACTCAGATTGCTCATCAACATGCATAAAGCCGTGTCAGACACCGAGCAATTGCATAAGTTTATCTGCCAAACAAAACACACAACACAAAGAATCAAATATGTTGCTAACTGATGCTTCTCTGTATAAAAGTGTTTGTTTTTTTTTACCTGTCGTAGGTTTCTTGAGAAGTAAGCTAATGCCCAGAAACCCGAATCATCGATATTCTCGCAGAGTTTCAGGTCCAGGTAACCCAATTTCTTGCAGCCGCACGCTATTGCAGCTAAACCAACACCGGTTATATTCTTTAGCCCTCGGAGTTCAAGGTGACTTAAATGTTCTAGCTGGCGGATTTGTTCAACCCCAAAGTCAGTTAGTTCACTGCAGTAGGATAGAATGAGTCTGTTCAAGCTCTTGCAACCTCGAGATAAAGCTGCTAAACCATCATCTCCAAAACCGGCACAGCTGCACTCAAAAAAACAGAATCGATTAGAAAAAGAACCATGTCTTAAACATTTTCGATCAAGAATCTACCAAGAAAAGAACTTTACCGGTATAGATCAAGTTCTAGAAGCTTTGAACATTTGGAACCAATATGAAAAATCCCTTTGTCTGAGATATTTGTGCAGAGGCCAAGTTTCAATCTTTCAAGATTTGAACACTTTGAAATATATTCTAGCCCTGCGGTAAAATTTCCCAAAAACCATAAGATTACCAAAGCTGATAAGATCTAAACACACAAACGAGTTGAGTTCATATATATCTGCTTTTACCTCTGTCATTTACGCCACAACAGTCAGTAAGGTCGAGTTCTTGAAGAAGCTTGGAGTAACATCCGAGCGATTGAAGACCTTTTTCGGTAATCAAATGACAAGACTCTAACTTCAAAGTTTCCAGAGTCCTGCAAGTCTGAGCTAAAGCAGAGATGGCTACATCTGTTACAAACCCGCAGCATGCTAGATTTACGGTTTTCAGGTTCAAACAGTTGCGTGCAAGTGCCATCATCCCAATATCCGTTACATCAACACATCTGCTCATTCCAATCTCCATTAAAGATCTACAACTAGAGCTTAATGTTACAAGAGAAGAATCAGAAACACGAGCTCCATCGATCCATATAGCCTTCAAACGCTTTAAACCTTTGATGTACCCTAGGAAGCTACCAGAGACTTCCTGTGAAGTGAATCACAAATATTAAAGAGTGCATTTTCCAAGTAAACTAGACTAATTCAAGGACTCAATCGCAAACTTACTGATACACAGTGACTGGCTTTAAGGACTTGAATATCAGGATGGCCTCTGACTATACAAATCAAGCTAGATAAACTCACACGCTCACACCTCGTGACATCAATCTCCTGTTTATAACACTTGAAACTTTATTAAAAGATACGAATAAATGAATTGATCAAAAGCTTTGTGTTATGAAGACAAAGTAACACACCTGTAATGAAGGAGAACCATTCTCTAGAATCCGTAACCCAACATCATCTATCAAAGGACAACTTACCATATCTAAAACCTCAAGCTTTGGCAACAAAGCTATAGACCGGATCGAATCATTCGTTACCTGAATCAAAATTCACAAACAAAACTATACATATCAGCCAATCTCACTTTGTTCACTACAAAGATCGAAACTTTGAATCCAATCTCCATCAAATTCAAACAAAGTTTTGAAATTTATGCCATTTACCTTAAGATAAGAGACGTCAAGAGATTTCAATCCTTTGCAAATCTTACAGAGAAGATCAATCCCAAGATCAGAGATCTCCATACACCATTTCAAACTAATCTTATTGAGATTACTACATCCAACAACGATCCTCGCTAAACCAACGTCGCTTAAACTCAAACACTTATCCATCTTCAGCTCCCTAAGCCCCTTAGCAGACGAGAGCGCCGCCGCTTCCCTATCTCCAAATCCCCAACAGTGAGACACGTCGACGCGCTCAAGAGCGTGACACATACGCGCTAAAGTCTCAAGTCCCCTGGCTCGAACCGCGGTTGAACGGCTCAGGTTCAGTGACTTAATACG